TTTTCTCTCCTTAAAAAGGCATTTTTAGAAACATTCAACAGTGTCACTCAAATGCTGGATCAACAGAAACTTTTACAATTAAAAAAGAGATGGTAATGACCCTGTGATCGCATTGCATCTGGGGGTAGGGAGAAAAAAATTGATCAGGAACTGGATTCTTCAGAACATAAGAGATGAGAAGGGAGCCGTGGGTGGTGGGCTGAGAGGGAGAAAACAGAGTGGGACAAATCCTGTGTTTTCTAATGGTTACTCCTCTTTGCCTAATGGCGGTCCAGTGTTGAGCTCTGTAGTAAATCTGTGGGGGTTTTGCTGGGGGGTCTGAAGGCTGTCTGAAAGCCTGGGGGTGGGGAGTGGAAGCTGGAAGGGTTTGAAGGAGGAGGGTAGGGATTCCAACTGGCTCTGTGCAGTGGGATCTGTGTGCTGAAGGGGGCGCTGTGGTGGGTCTGTGATGGAGCAGCGCTGGGGCCGTCCATCTCTGTGAGGGCCTGAAGGGATTTTAGCCAGTGTGGAGGATTGTCATCTTGAAGAGAGTCTAAACTGTTTCCTGAAGACGCTGGAATACCTAAGGAGAGAAAAGAAAAAAGAGAGGAAACGGTGAGTTTGTGCAGAAAGAAGAAGAAGGTCGTCAAACAAATTTAGAAAACAAAATCAAAAGAAAACACTGAAGAGATTACAATTTCAAACTCCTTCCAAAAAGACGTTTTAAACCTTATGTTCCTTTGATCCTCCCCCAACAACCAAGACTTGTCGTCACACAAATCCATGCCTCCTCTTGAACTAGACTTAGTCCCCCACTGTCACAGAGGTGGAGCTGCAAAACACCATTGCACGACCGCATTTCCCAATTGTGCTTTTCCTCCTCTAACAGGGATACGTAACAAGACAGCCTTATAATAGAGAGCTTTATAACAAAAAGTGGAGTATGTTCCTTATCAGAAGAGTCAGTCAGATCCTTTTGTACTTTGAGGTCTACAAAATACACATGTCGCCAGACGTTAACACCTACTTAAACCAAAACAAGCAACCTAGGCACCAAATGCCTTCTTATTAATACACAACTAGGCCGACAGCTTCAACGAGACTTGTGTGACCCCTGAGAACAAAACAAGCCACTCCACACTTGTGGCTTTGTGAAAAGAAACTTATGTTGAAGAGATCTCTGTTGTTTTTTTTTTAAATCTGTGCTAAAAACCAAACTGTTGGCAGTCAGTGGAGCTGAAGGGAGTGAGAAAGTTACCTGTGATGATGGCTGGGTCTGTCCAGCTGCCAGGGCTGTCCCAACTCAGGCTGTCGGTGGTGGCAGTGTTGGACGTTGGTGCACTGTGGTTGGCGTTGGAGGGGGAAGAAGAATTGGGCAGTCCACCAAAGTTGATGTTAATGTTGGGTAGAAGTGCCCTTAGCCCGTCCTGCCATTCCTTCATATTTAAACTCTCTACAGAACTGCTGTTGTCTGGGAGATTTACCAACAAAAAAATGAAAGATAAAAAAAAAAATAAAAAGCTACGTTAGAAACATATGTTGCTCTTTAGTGGTTAAGCGGGAGAAGAATTATTCTTTCTTTACTGAGCATTTAAAATGGGTTGTCCTAGCAAGATAAACTTGGTTAGGATTTTGCTCGTGAGCTCAGAGCCCCTGAAGTGAGGAAAAACCTGCTCAAGGATCAGGAGAGGGAGCTTCTTATCTGTCTATAGCCTCTTCACCATTATGGGTTTCTAAATCAATAATCCAGTTTAAAGACTCAATGCTCCAGAGCACAATTTAGTTCCAGCTACATTATGAAGTTTCAGTTAGTGAGGCATTTAGCCAGCTGAGCTGATTTACACTATAAAAAAAGCAAGACTACAAAGTCCAATATAGGAGCTTATTTCTCAGCCCATCAAATGGAAGAAAAGTCATTTTATGAAGAATAAACATAAGCAATAGAAAAAGAAAAATAATTAAGCCCTTCTTGATTATAAAACTGGCAATGTGTTTCAGAAGAGAAAAGCAGTAATGAACAGGCTTTTGAATTTGAAAAGAATGTATTTCCATTAGTCACTAAGGCCAAGGAGGCAGGAGCTGATACCTTTTAGATGGAATAATTTCCAACACGGCCTGCCTGCTCTACTCCAACAGTTCTACCAGTCATTCACAGCCTGGGTCCTGGAGTCCTACAGTTTTCTGGGTTTATTTCTGAATAGTGTCAAACATGAGAAGATACTAGCAACATAAAAAAGGCTCTTTATAAATTGTGACTAAACTAACTTGATCTACTACCATCCAGCATCTACATAATATAACTAACAGTTGGGGGGGTGGTGAAGTATAACAACTACTTAGATAACTGTCTTCTTTAATACTTAGATAATTGTTTTATTGAAATAGGAATGTAAGTCAAATTACAAACTGGAGTTTTTGACAAAAGTATAGAAAAAATACTTCTGATTCCATAGAACTGATTAGCAATCGACACTGAGAAAGAGGGGGAGGAGGAGGATGTTCTATCAGGCATGATCTATGCTACTGTGCAAAATCAGAATTTTCTTTTTGTAATTTTGCTTTGCACCAATGATCTATGCCAAATTATATCATGTTTCAACAAGTGAAGCATTTAACTCCATTGGCCTTATTTGCAAAAAGACAAAAAACTACAGCTAAACCGAACAAAAGTCATCTCTGAACTTACTAAGATGAAGAAAAAGCACTCTATGCTACACAAAACAAGACAACAGAAGGGAAAATAAATTCCCCAAGCCAACTTTCATTTCATAATTGATGTAATTTACTAAACCTCACATTTCTTATATTTGCAGACTATTTTACATTTGCATTGTTTATATGGTTTACAAGGCACTCTGATAATTATTTCATTTGATCTTCATAGCAGCCCTGTGAGGTAGGCAGAGGAGGATGAATAATCTGCGTTAAATAAATAAAGAAACAGATTCAGGAATAATTTGCCCAAGTTCACAAAACTTGTTATTGAGAACTTGAAACTGGACCCAATCTGTCAAAAAAAAAAAAAAAAAAAAAAAAAAAGCAAGCAAGCTTATTCTTTCTTGATCTACTCTATATAGACTATTAATTAATTTTTTTTTTTTTTTTTTTTTTTTGAGACAAAGTCTTGCTCTGTCACCAGGCTGGAGTACAGTGGCACGATCTCGGCTCACTGCAATCTCCACTTCCTGGGTTCAAGCGATTCTCCTGCCTCAGCCTCCCGAGTAGCTGGGACTATGGGTGCATGCCCAGCTAATTTTTGTATTTATTAAGTAGAGACGGTTTCACCATGTTGGTCAGGCTGGTCTTGAACTCCTGACCTTGGGTGATCCACCCGCCTCAGCCTCCCAAAGTGCTGGGATTACAGGCGTGAACCACCGTGCCTGGCTTCAGACTATTAATTTTTAAAGGGTCAAATATTAAAGGGAAAGCCCAGGGGAAGACCCATGATTGAAAGGAGAAACACAGAAGCATTTCAGTTATGTCCACTGGCCATGATTAGTAGAGAGATAATTGTGGCTGAAGGAAGAAACTGGACTTTGTGGCCAGGAGAAAAAATTCTAATCAAGAATACAATCATGAGTTTCCCCCTGGCTACCTAACTACATGAGACATAAACAAGATCACAAATTTAAATCCTAGAACACTCTCAGTTACAGGAAGGTGTACGGCTATGGCATGTTCTAACGCTCAAAGCAGTCAAACTTTCAGGCTGAATAACTTAAAATGGTTTCCAATTAGCAAAAACAAAATGAGAAACTTCCTAGGAGAAAAATAAAATCCCCCAGAAATAAAAATATGATGTATAACTAACTACATGGGAAGATTTTCAGTAAGATAAATGCTCTTATACCGAGTGGCTAAAGTCCCTAAGAAGTCCATGTAAATTATGATCCTCCCTCTTCTACTGAATAGGGAAAGAGAAATTTCCCACAACTCAGACCAATCTGCCCCTACCTTTTGCTTTACCAGTTAGTGAGCAATTATTGAGGAACATTTAATTTAATTTTGCACTAACAGAATAACACCTGCATTCATATAAAGTTTATTTGAAAATTAGTAATAAAGTCACAAAACAAAGGCAGAAGGGTTATATGAGAACTCTCTGTACTTCCCACTCAGTTTTGCTGTGAACCTAAAACTACTCTAAAAAAAGTTTTTTAAGGGACATTTGTTCCTGTAATTGCAGACTAATCAAATCAAGCAAGAGTATGTTAGCCAAAGAAATTCACATATGGCACATGATGCAGAGACAGTGAGAAACGTAGATCCTCCCAGGTGCACTATGATTACAGGATGCCTTGGGAAATAAATTAGCCAGTTTATAATGCAACAATCTTGACACCTCTCCTCCCCTCAAAAAATCCTGTGCCTTGACATTTTGGGAGCCTGACAGCATGGGTGTGTGGCTTACACCAAAGCTGCAAGTGTTATAGCGAAGTAGAGTGATGCTTTTAGCTCTTGGACTAGGACCATATTCCATCTAGCTTAGAAGAAAAGGAGTTTATTTCACTGTTTTCTTCACTATTGCTATGCCAAGAGTTGGCACAAAGAAAAGGTGAGAGAAAAGAAATCAGCTTAATCCTAACCCCATCAAAATAGCTCATCTCAGTCCACCCGTACCTGAAGTCACCTCCTTGACTCCCCATTCCCTTCCAATGACCCAAATTTGTCTTGGCAAAAAAGGCTTCTGGCAATTCCATGCTTTGAAACACACACAGCAGGTTTTATCAACCTCATCACTACTTACAGTTTGAACTACATAATTCTCTGTAGTGGACTGCCGTCCTAAGCACTGTGGGAGGTTTAGCAGCATTGCTGGCCTCTACCCACTAGATGCTAGGAGCACCGACTCCCCAGTTTTGACAGCTGAAATTGTCTTTAGACATTTCAAATGTCTTCTAGGGAAGCAAAATTGCACCAGAACCAATGACACAAAGGAAACCAATTCGTCTGCTTCTGGGGCTCTAAATGATCTCAGTTGAAAACACATTTTCCTTTCAAATAGTACCAGTACCACTGACTCAACTTGATGCAAGTTCATTTTCTTTTATTTATACAGGACTTCACACTGGAGTACAATTCAATGTGTATAAGTCAGTAGGTCTCACTGAAAAAACATTGTAGATAGGTTGTGTAAGGCAGCTGCACAACTGGCTGTCAATATAATTTAGGCACGTATATCCCAGGACCCCTAATTCGTAAGTAGAAATAACAACTGCCTTACTGTCTCATAAGAATAAAAATAAGAGAAGGAAAAGCAATTTGGAGCACATTTATTACCTGCTAAATGCCTAACAACAAATTTTCCACTAGTGGTCAATATGGAACGGACAGTAAACTTTCCAAAAAGCTAAGGCAGTGTGTTTCTTACTGCCAGGAACTAGCCCTGTGCACAAGTCTCCTTTTAGGAACTTAGAGATAATACCCATAATTCTCAGAGGTACTGTGTAGTCAGTCTAATCAATGGGTCTTCTCATCACTAAAACATTGCAAAGACAAGATATCAGAAAGTACTTTAAACTGTAAGATGTGAAAAGAGCAACCAAAGTATAATAAAAGTCAAGTTGCCAAATATTTTATATTAAAAATAATACTAATTTTTTTAAAGTAATTAGTAATAGTATAATACATAAGGGAAGGGGTGTTTATTCTTAAAGAACTGGTAATATATTTAGATGTTTTCTGATGTTAAAAAAATTTTACTTTATGGCATACAAATATGTACAACGAAACACTATTTTCAGTTCTAAACAATTTGAGGGCAGGAAAGGGTGTCAAGTTGTTTGTAGCCGTTTTATTTTTCAGTGTAGAACTCAAAGGTACACAATTTAAAGTACTTTCAAGATGCCACGTGCCACACTTTCATATTCTACTGTATAAGAAGTATCAATATACTTCCAGTTTACCTGCCTCAGAAAACGTCTTATTAAAGAAGAAATTATAATTAAAACTCTGCTACCTTGTTGGTCAAGGTAGCAGAATCCACAGTAAGCCGATGATGAGGTACTAAACAAGTTGACAAATCTAGTTTTTAGCAATGACGACAGTTTAAAACCTCAGTATAAAATGCATCTATTAAGACCGCCAAGCTAAAAACCAAGGCAGCTCTTTACTGAGTGCCTACAGTGTGCATGGAACACAAAAGCAGTCAAACCATGACCTCTATTTTCAAGGGGCTAAAAGTCTAGACAGTGGGACGATGAAAATACATGAAAAGTTCAAGAACTACATCTGAAAAAGCAACAGAAGAAATGCCCAGAGTGGTACATGATTAAAATACGCTATAGAAGTTCAGGAAAAAGGCAGGCCAGTTGGGACACGTGTGGGAACATGCTGGTGGGTGAAGAACAGTAGCATTTGTGGAGTTGCCATTTTAGTTACTACATAGCTCTCCCCCTCCTCCCACACCAAACCTGAAAATCTCACAACAGGTTGAAACTATCTTTAGTATTTCTACATAACACTGTACTAGTCCAACTGTTTACTAGGAAGTACACAGAAAGGCACTGAAACAATGACTATATTTTAGAATGAATTCGGACTTCTGACCTTTCACAGAACACTGCTTAGGCAAGCACACACAGTTGGTATTAACAGCATCCAGAGTGGGTATCTTTCCTTTCTGTTCTCCAGGTTAACTGCGATATGTTAATTATTATGAAATGTAAAACTATAAATAGCAAAATGTGGGCAAACCTGCTCCTCACAGTAACCTGTCACTGGCAACAAGCCAGTGAGTTTTTCCAGCTGGTATACAAGCTTCACCTGAAAACAATGGAGGAAGTTGAGGGGGTGGGGCACCAGCACAAGGCACCCTTCCTTCCCATCTTGATTTCATGTATTTTACGTATTAGGGTACCATGTAAGACTTAATTTGAAAAATAAGATCTGCTGCTAAAAGGGTAAAGACATAGAAGACTTCTGTATAATGACAACATAGTGAGATAAAATACATTTAAAACAAGCCCAAAACAATTCCAGTATACTTGTTTCCACAAATATATTCTTCTGCTACCAAATCAGGATATTGTGCCTTCTTGGAATTCTTGCCTCTACCTTATTTTTGGTACCCCTTCCTCAAGTTCTTTTCATTAAACAATAAATTCTCCCCTCTGGGGAAGCAGTCACTGAGAGACCCAGTCACAAAATACACATTTTGAGCCATATTTAATGGTTATTACCAAAAGGCTCAATGCAATCCGATTTTGTTTTTCTAAAAAGCTTTCACCTTCCATGTTCACTGTTATCCTTTACATTTCAAAATCACAGGTGCCAGGGGCTAGGCTAAACAAATTTTTCTTGGTGCAAGTGGCTACCCATCAGAAACCTGGTTCCTACTATGATCAGCTCTTTGCCAGTTAGACTTTCAAATCTTTGTGCATTTTTAGAAGAACATAGGGAACAAACTGTCTTTTTTTTTTTTTTTTTTGAGACAGGGTCTCGCTCTGTCGCCCAGGCTGGAGTGCAGTGTTTCAATCTCAGCTCACTTCAACCTCCGTCTCCCGATTCAAGTGATTCTCCTGCCTTAGCCTCCTAAGTAGCTGGGACTACAGGCATGAGCCACCACGTCCAACTAATTTTTGTATTTTTAGTAGAGACAGGGTGTCAGTATATTGGCCAGGCTGGTCTTGAACTCCTGACCTCATGATCCACCCGCCTTGGCCTCCCCAAGTGCTGGAATTACAGGTGTGAACCACCGTGCCTGGCCTACAACCTGTCATAACTCCTGCCCCCACACCCCTCCCTCTTATACATGATCTCTTACCAGTTTTGGGATGGAGTGCATCTCCATCGGTATTTAATTTGAACAAAGTCTAAACTTCCTCAAACCTCAACAACGAATCTCTAAGTGACTCAAATACAAATGATTTATGCTGAACTAAACTTTAAAGAGCAGACAAAATTTGTCATATTGAAATTTAAAAGAAAGCCTTCATACTATAGGTGAGCTGCACTTCAGGGCAGTCACAAAAATCATTCCAATTTAATAACTAAAATATGCAGAAAAAATGACTTCTGAGTAAATGAATTGTTATAGACAGACATTATAAAATCAGTTTATGAAAAATGTTGTTCTAGTTAAACAGTTTACACTCAAATTTCTAGAACTATGTTTATTATAAAGCAAGACAGACCAATACTGCACTAGATCACAGACAAAATCTTCAGGGTTTAATAAATCTGAAAGTAGAGTTTGGATTAAGTGGAAAAATCTTAAGAAACAAAATGCAAAAAGAGTTCTGAGCAGAAACAAAGAACCTGAACAAAGTAACAGCCAAAACAGCAACAAAAAAGTCAAACTTTGTTTATACTAGAAGGAAGTAGAAATGACACAAACAGAAAAATCCGGATTTGCTACGTATAATTTGTGCTTTCTACACTTTACTCCCTCCGTTCTCCTTATCTAGAATGTTTTTTTCTTCTCTTCAGTTAGTTTTTATTCAATCTTCCAAAAGTCAAAGTCTCTTCCACCTGACAGCACTTATGGTTTGAATCACTCATTTGGCAGTACAGCCATCCACTGAAGTTACTGTCCACACTTACGTGTATTCATACTTCACCTCTCAACTCTGCTGAAAAGCCTGATGGGGACATCCTGTACATACTTCAGCATGTAGCTCAGTGTCTTAGAAATTTTACATGCATTGAGATATCTGGAGGCCAGAGGGTCCGACTTGAGAAGAGCTGGAAAGTGACTTTCCCCAACAAAATCTATTTAATTCATAGCTATATAATGCTGTGAACAGATGGTTCTCTCCAAAAAGATGCAAAGCTTTCTGAATGCAGGAGGAGTAAGTTTTGGGGTCCAAGAGGCTTCTCTGCATGTAAACTGAAGGAAATGAGCCACTAAGATGTTATGTTTTTAATAGCATTTCAGATGCCAAAACACAAGCAAATATACTTTTTAAAGGTCCAATGCATCAAATTTGTTTAAAGAAGGAATGTTTTATTAAAAACAAATATTCTATTATGTGTACAGGACATTAAACAAAATTCTTTAAGATGTATTCTATCACTTATTCTACCCCAGCCACTATTCCTTCACTCACGATGCACTTTATGTAATCAACTACTTTAGTATCAACAATCCAGTGAGGTTAGGTAGTAGCTTCATTTTACAAATGAAAAGGCTGAGTAGGCACTGGCAATTTAAAGAATTTGCCCCAGGTTACAGACTAAAGTGTTGCAGTCAGCAATTAAAATCAGTCTGACTCCAAAGCATTTGTTCTTGCCATCAAGCATGCTATCAAACAGTCCATGTCCTGGGCAGGACTCATGGGCTAATAGAAAGGAAGGGCAAATGTGTTTAAACAACTACAACATGGGATAATAAATGCTATTCTAGTATGAACAAAGACCTGTAGAGCATAAAGAAGTAAGTAAGTAATTCGGCCATTCTACATGTAAGATAAAGGGTGAATCTGAAAACATCAAACAAGGCCTGGCACTGTGCCTCACGCCTGTAATCCTAGCACTTTGGGAGGCTGAGGTGGGCAGATCACGAGGTTAGGAATTTAAGATCAGCCTGGCCAACATGGTGAAACCCTGTCTCTAAGAAAAATATTTAAAAATTTAAAAAAAGAAAAATTAGCTGAGCATGATGGCGTGTGCCTGTAATCCCAGCTGCTGTGGAGGCTGAGGCAGGAGAATTGCTTGAACTGGGACTGGAGAGGTGGAGGTTGCAGTGAGCCAAGATTGTACCACTGCACTCCAGCCTGGGCTACAGAGTGAGACTTCATCTCAAAAAAAAAAAAAAGAAAAAACATCAGAAGAAAAGAAGCTGATATGGAAGAGGGAAAGGGTATCCCATGGAGAACACAGGGATGCACAGGCAGACAGGCAGCAAATAAAAAAATACAGTGGGAACATTTCAGAATACATGTAGATGTGTTTTGTTTTGCATAATGTGTATTATTCTCTTCTAGAATGCTCCTATAAGGATCTATAAATCTGTTTTGAAGAAGAATCAGATACATACACCCTTTGTAGCATCACAGACTGGATCAGATGAGACCTGAAACAGAGTATGTAACCAACACTAAATGAAGGCAAGGGACAAAAATGACCCATATAAAAGATCTGTAAAATGTCAAAGAAGAACCTGGAGGGAAGCATTTAAGTGAGCACAAAACTGAGCAGTGACAGCAAACAAAGTCCTGTGTGGAGATCCAAAGGTGGTCAAGGGAACGTAAAATAAGGAGAGGATACACAGATCACCAGAATATTCACCCAACATGACTTCCCCAAAACAAATGACAAAATTCCAGAGACATGGAGGGTGTCAACCGCCCTAACATCTTTGAGGTCTAAATCTACTAGAAGAAAATAAACCTGATAAAATATTCTTTGCTGATTCTCTCTCTTTTCCAAGGTGAAAATAAGGAGGAAAACTTTTATTCTGGACTTAATTCTGATCAAAGAAGAACTGGTTGGCTACTGGAAAAATAACAGAAACCTTAGGAGGATGTGACATAATATTAGGATTTACAGAAGCAAGAAATGAGAGTAATTATACTCGAGTTCTTAGATGGCAGGTATCCTGGCTATTTTGCAAATACCACAGTGTACTGCAATAATTTGTTTACATGTTCTTTTTACAACTAGACTTTGAGCTCCTCTAGGAAAAGGTCCTTGATTTGATCATTTATATGTAGTAAACAATGCCTGGGCCTAAACTTCAGTAGGCACTTTATGTTTTCTAAATGCATAACCCTGAAATTTTGCTTCCAGGTTTTTATTTATTTATTTTTTGAGATGGAATCTTGCTCTGCGGCCCAGGCTGGAGTGCAATGGTGTGTTCTCTGCTCACTGCAACCTCTGCCTCCCAGGTTCAAGTGATTCTCCTGCCTCAGCCTTCTGAGTACCTGGGATTACAGGCGAGTGCCACCACACCTGGCTAATTTTTGCATTTTTAGTAGACAGGATTTCACCATGTTGGTCAGGCTGGTCTCGAACTCCTGACCTCGTGATCTGCCCACTTCTGTCTCCCAAAGTGCTGGGATTACAGGAGTTAAGCCACCGCACCCGGCCTGCTTCCAGGCTTTTAAAGAAACCAACTATCCAGAAAATATCAGAAAAAAGATGGGTGGGAGTGGTCCCGTGATTATAGGGAGCAGTGATTCGCAGGCCACAGAAGATGCTAAAACATGACATTTTGACAATGCAATAAGTAATTCTATAAGGAAAAGAAAATTAGAGGAAATCTAAAGTCAGTTGTTAAGGAGAATCTGATGGGATTAGATTTGAAAAGAAAGCTTAGAAAAGATAGGTACAAGTATATAACCTACTTTTATATAAAAGTTTAATTCTGGGGCTGTGCACCATGGCTCACTCCTGTAATCCCAGCACTTTGGGAGGCCAAGGCGGGAGGATCACGAGGTCAAGAGATCAAGACCATCCTGGCCAACATGGTAAAACCCTGTCTGTATTAAAAATACAAAAGAAAGTTAGCCGGGCATCGTGGGGCGTGCCTGTAGTCCCAGCTACTCTGGAGGCTGAGGCAGGAGAATTGCTTGAAACCAGAAAACGGAAGTTGCAGTGAGCTGGGATCGTGCCACTGCATTCCAGCATGGCAATAGAGCGAGTCTCTGACTCAAAAAAAAAAAAAAAAGTCTCACACACACACAAAAAAAAGTATAATTCTTACGGATTAAAGTCAGAATCCATATGATCTGAGGAAAGTAAAAAATGCTGAAAGCAAGACAAAGCTATGTTTGGAATAAGGGGAATATTAGGAAAGGCCACTGCTCAGCTTATTGCCACATTAAGCCATGAGAAAAGGCAGGGCAATTTAGTTCCATGTTCATTTTGCCTCCTTCCATCTTTAGGTAAGAGCATGATCTTCTAACCAAAAGGACAGATTAAGTGATGTGAAGGAGGGAACTGTTAAGTCAGGAGAGATGCAAAGACATCACAAAAGCATCTACTCAATTCAAATGAGTTTAAATCTTTAGATTGAAAATGAGTTTTATCCCAGGTTCTTAATCCTCACAGGTGAGATAACAAAACCACTGTTAGAAAAGTGCCAGAAATGAAGAAAATGGCAGACTCTAGAAGCAACATGCTTAGAATTAGTTGAGAAAAGTCTAAAGCAGATTTGGGGCTTGTTCATTTATTTAGAAATGAATATGACAGGTTTATCAATCACTGTTCTGTCTACTTGTGTTTGGGCGTATTTTTCATGGGAAATAATGTTTAGGATTTTGACTAGAACTCAGCTCCATTCCACCTAAAATATACAGGAAGCTTAATTCTGAAACTGAACAAGTAGTCATGGAGATAGGTTTCACTGACATTGTTTTCCACTGGAAAAGTCCTCGTATATCCCACCACCCACTTCCTTTCCCCTTCTGCTGCCCATCTAAACTCAAAGATTTTGTAGCTAGCTCTGTTTCCATCCCACTGGCTTGTCAATCCTCCCCAAAAATGGAATAAAGTTATCAATGAGAGTCAATATGAATTTTCATAAAGAACAAATTCTATCAAAGTAATTTATTCTTTGGATAGGCTTCCTAGGATGTCAGAAGTATGATATATCTTGACTATATCTTGAATTCAGCAGTTTCTGGTAAAATTTGCTGATGGTTCCCTTTTGGGATAACATGGTAAAGTATAGATGGATAACAGCAGTGTTTAGATGAATCTACACAGAACCTGAGATACTGAGTCAGCCTATATTAAGTCTCTATAATACTCTTGGCTTATATTTGACTCCATGCTTTTCATTATACTTAACAAAACCCATAAAGTTCATTTACATATGCAAACGGAAAGCCAATTCTACAGATGACAGAATAGCGGAAACTACAACTATTCTTAAAATTCTTCCATTCTTTGACAAATGTTATTAATAGTGTTATTAATAACATGCATCTACCACTTCATAACCGCATAGTTCTTTCATAAGACAAACTTATAAGATGGGGATATACAAACAAGATACATTCTAATCATACCAAATCCCAACACACACAATTTAACAGATATACATTAGATTTTTAAAAATGCACTTGGAAAGGACAGAATGGAAAAGCTCTAACTAACCATTAGCGTGTATGGAAAAAGGTCTAGTGATTTTGCTTAACAGGCTTATGATACTTGGTATGGCAACTAGGTCAATGGAATGTCTAAAAAAGTAACATTAAGACTATATAAACAGATGTGCAAAGTCTAAATTAGCAGTTGTATGACCTTAGGCAAATCACATATGATAATCACTCTGTTTCTCATTTATAAAATGCAGATAACTACCCTACAAGATAATTTTATAAAAGTCTGTAAACATAAGGGAAATACAAGCATTAGTGACAAGTTTTAATAAAAGAGATTATCTGATCATATGTGGATTATTATATTCAAGTGTAAGCTTCATATTTTAAGAAAGGCAATGTCAAGTCAAAATATTTGTAAAGGAGAATTAAGACTAAGAAAGAATTCAAAATCATGTTACGTGTAGAATGGTTTAAAGAAGTGAGGATGATGTTTGATCTACATCCAAAAGTTAACAGGCAAGTGGTCTTCAAGTGTTTAACAAAACCCACTTAAGAAGTACAATTGGTAAAATATTTTGGTTTAATCAAGAGAAAAAATTTCTAACAATTACAAGTTGCCCTAAAGAACTCCCTACCTAGCAAAGTACAAAGCTCCTACAACAGCTCAGGAGTGCACACAAAGCATTCTGAAAAAGCAGGTATATCGGAGAGACTTTCTGAACTGTGTATATGTGTTTCATGGAAGATTTATCAATATTTATATATTTATGGGTATCACAAATGAGGAATCAGATAAGAAAAGTATATATATATTTTTTTTTTTAAGGTACGTCTGTGTGTATGAGTGTGTACGGGGGGTGTGGGAAAAACACAGAAAAGCCAAGAGCTGAGGTTTCCTGAGTTCAGAGGTAAAAAAAAAAAAAAAAAAAAAAGGAAGAAAAGGATTAATCACATAGCGAGTGGGTGATGTGTAGGGTGGAAGATCTTAACAATGAACACCACAATGCCAGAATAGAACCAAAAATGAATTATAACTCATTTGCAAATGAATCTGACTAAATGCTTCCCAAAGTCCAGATTAACACAAAACAAATCCATGCTTTGCAGGCCTCCAGAATTGACACCAATCTTAACCACCAATTTTCTTTCCACAAACATTTATTGCATGTCTACTCTGTACCATTTTCTCTGGAGCTTGATGCTGTGACTTTCTCTAACAGCCTCCTAAAAACCATGCTGTTCTGCATTTTTTTTTAAAAGGCTAGTCAAGTGAAGCTCTGCTTATTTCTTAGCAGATCACTCAGGACTGGCCATTCCAAATGAAGTCTGTAATAGCTTTTGATTGTTTAGTGCCAATAAAATATTTTTATTGGGGCAGAAGTTTCTCTTCAGATGAAACTTCTCTTCAATACTTTCATTCAGATGAAAGTATTTTGTTTCCTATACAGCAAATCCCTTTATATATCGATTGAAAGTCCTAAGATTTCTGATGTTCATAATTTTCTAAATTAAAACATTTTCAAGTTATCTAAAAGTTATTTAAAACATCAAACCCA